CGGCATGCTTAGATTCATTTTATGTACTTAGGTAAAGTTTTGATAATTTTGGTGGGCTCTAGAACCTAGTGAGAAGTGCTTGAGGCAAAATTCTAGGATTAGACATGGTTGAGGAAATGATTTAGGCATTCCTTTTGGAACGTTTGAGCCTTTCCAGCCAATCCATGAATGAAATGTGCCCTAGTCACCGATTTGAGCCTTATGAATTATCATTGCGGTATTTTTCCTTGCAAACCAAAAATGTTCGATCCTTATGCCCAAAACATTATATCGTACCCTTAGGAGAATTTTGGCCTAATGCAAACACAGAGAAAGTGAACGTTCTGCGAATTTACTAAAAGATTTGGGGTTTTGTGAGAAGGGCAAGAAGATAAGAGGGGTAGTTCACCTCAATTCAATTGATTTGTTTTTCTTGATTGTCAAAAAAAAAAAAAAAAAAAAAAAATTGATAAAAAACAAATTCTTAGTTCAAGTCAAAATCAGAAATAAGAACGGATACGAAGTTTGAGGGTTGTAAATTGGTGGACACATTGATTGGTGGTTGAGAAGAAGTGGAGATTGATGTGATTTTAGTGTTTGCATGAGGAAAACCGACTTCTCTTACTTTGTTATTCCTATCCTTTTTCTTTGAACCCACCACCCGAGCCTAGCGTTACGAGCTTATAAAGACCTTTTGATTTTTATCTATGTCTAGTCTACATTAGTGGAGAGTAGTTCGATATTTAGGCTTATGGAGTCCGCCACTATTTGATAAACTTTGCATTTCTGCATAAAATAATCCGAGAAGTTGGAATGTGGATTGAAGTGGGGATCACCTACTCTGTGGACCGATAGAGGAAGATAGTCGATGCAGCTTATAACTTTTTGAAGTGTTGAATACTTTATGATAATAAATTTTCAACGACCTTTGAGACTTGTGTAATTTCTAGGCAATTCATATGTTGAGTGTGAGTCCAATTAGTGTTTGTTCATTTTTCAGTTTTATGGTGTTTGTGTTTTGTGTTTGTGGTTTTCTGTTGTTTTTCTTTCTGTGAGTTTGTACCTGATGCTCGGGGACGAGCATATTTTTAGTTTGGGGGTATTTGATAATTCGAGGATTATATTGTTTTTACTAGGCTTTTTAGTCGGATTTTAGATACTTCTTAGTTCATTTTGACCTGAAATGTTACTTAATTTTTTATATTTTGTGTTTCAGGCAAAAATGGACATTTTGAGCAAATAATGAGCGATTTGGAGTTTCTGGACTCAGAAGTAAACGGATCTCAAATTTTGGAAGAGTTCTGAAGCAGAATGGAACACTAGGAAGCTTGTTTCCATAGGAGAGCATCGAGGATCGAAGATTCAAGCAAAAAGGTAAGCAGAGGGCAATTCTGGAATTTCAAAATTCCACATGGAGCTTCGCCGCGACGAAGCTTGTTCTTCGCCGTGGCGATGTCTGCGAATTTCAAAACGCATAGTTTTACTTTTCAGAAATTTCTTAGGTTTTTGGGGGAGGTATAAAAGGAAAAACTTATTCTTTTTGTCGGTTGTTCGTTTTTAGATAGACAACAGTTTTTACATATTCTAAAATTGAATTTGAGTGATTTTGCATTAAACAAAGTGTGAAGATTTGAGGTGAAACCAGTGGATTCGTCAATTGGGGAGATTCTTTTCATTTTCTCTTGTTTCCATGATGTTGAACTTGGAATTTTTCGTTTCTTTTAATTGTACTATTGATTTAGACATGAACTAACCTAATTTGGGTTAGGGTTAGGGTTTTGATTGTAGTTCGGAATTTCATGGGTTAATTGATTGAATAATTTTATTTTCATATGAACTTGCTTGATTGTGTGAATACTCTGAATTTATTGTTTATATGTGATGAACATGATGAGATTGAGAAATGAATCATGTTAGGCTTCTTGAGTATTCACCATTGTAGTATTGGATGCTAGAGATAGATTCAAGAACCAATGAAATCAATCTAGGATTCTTGTGCTTAATGAGCTCAGTTTTATTAACTTTCAATTTGTGGGTTCGGAAGGTTAATAGGGAAGAGTAGGAAAACATAGCCTAAGAAGGTATGTTGGACACTTTAGAGAGTTCGATTTACAATTAATGCATGTGAATATGAATTTAGTTTAATTCTTTAGGTTTAACCCATAGAGTCCGAATGAAGTCAAAACCCTACCCGTTTGTTTGAATTGATTTTATCCATATTTTTAAATCTTGCTTTCATAGTTTATTTTTATTTTAATAAATTTTGTTTTAGTTATAGTTTAAATTGTTCCCTTTAATCCAAAAGAATTCGATTGCTTCAACTTGAAAACGGTAGAAAACTTAGTGCTTAGCAACAATCCTCATGGGAACAATACTCACTCATCACTCTATTACTTGTGTGACTAGTATACTTGCTACATTTGAATGTTGTAGGAAACACGCATCAACAGACACCCTGCCAAATTTCTATATTTTCCCTCATCCACTCTATCTACACCATCTTGTTTGCTCAGCTTCAAGTTGGGAACCAGTGAGGTATCTACTGGTTTTCAATTCTCCATTCCAAACTTCATGAGAATCTTGGTTGCATACTTCTGTTGGCACACAAAAATCCCACCTGCAGATTGCTTATTTCCATGCCTATAAAGTAAGTCATCAGCCCAAAATCTGTCATTTCAAATTCAGTTTGCATGGCTGACTTAAACTGATCCAACTCTCTTGGATTGCTTCCAGTTACCAACAAATCATCAACATATAAAGAGACCATAGCTAATCCACTTTCACTCTTCCTAATGTAAAGTGTGTGTTCATTTGGGCTTCTAGTATAACCAAGACTGCATAAGTGGTCATTTATCCTGATGTACCAGGCTCTAGGGGCCTGTTTCAAACCATACAAAGCTTTCCTCAACAGGTTCACTTGATCTTCTTTTCCCTCAACCTTATAGCCTTCAGGTTGCTCCACATAAATCATCTCTAAAATCCACCCATTCAGGAATGCCGATTTGACATCCAACTGGAAAAGTTTCTAGTCAAATTAGGCTGCAAGTGCTAACAATAATCTGATGGTATCATGCCTGGCTATAGGGGCAAAGGTATCAGAAAAATCAATCCCTTGATGTTGTGCAAAACCTTTGACCACAAGCCTTGCTTTGTGCTTATGGACTGATCCATCAGGATTGGTTTTCAGCTTGTAGATCCATTTCACTTGGATTACTCTCCTTTTTTCTGGTCTGTGTACTAACTTCCAGGTATCGTTTTTCTCAATCATGGTGAGCTCCTCCTGCATTACAACCTTCCACGCATCAGACTTTGTTGCTTCATAGTAATTTCTAGGTTCCACCATAGCCACATTGCATCTTTTGTATACATCAGCTAAGGATCTAGTCCCTCTCACTGCATGTTCTTCATCATCATCAGAATCTGCTTCTCGAATCAGCGCCTCTCTCATCTCTTCCTGTCTTGACTTAGCTTGCTCATCTATTCTCTTCTCTTCCCAGTTCCAAATTGCACTTTCATCAATCTTTATATCCCTTGTAATCACAATTTTTCTTGACTCAGGGATATACACTCTGTAACCTTTAGAGTTGCTACTGTAACCTATAAAAATCCCAACTTCAGCCTTATCATCCAACTTGGTTCTCTTGCTTGCTGGAATCATGACATAACCTATGCTTCCAAACATTTTCAAACTTCCCATTGCTGGTTTAACTCCACTCCATGCCTCAATTGGAGTTTGGTACTTGACTGCCTTGGTTGGCAGCCTGTTCAGGAGAAAAACTCCTATATTAACAGCCTCAGCCCAGAACATTTTAGGAAGATTCTTTTCAGCCATCACACATCTAGCCATCTCCATGATAATTCTGTTTCTTCTCTCACAAACACCATTCCGCTGAGGAGTGTAAGGGGTTGTAAACTGATGCTGAATTCCAACTTCATGGAAGATTAAGCTGAATTCATTTGAGATGCATTCTATCCCATTATCACTCCTTATGGTCTTGATCAATGTTCCAGCTTGATTCTCCACCACCAACTTGAATTTTTTGAACACATCAGCTACCTCATTTTTCTACTTCAAAAAATATACCCAAGCCATTCTTGAATAATCATCAATGAAGAGTACAAAATACCTACTGCCATTTAGTGATTCAATTTTCATGGGACCACACACATCTGTGTGGATCAACTGCGGCTTGTCACTTGCTCTCCAGGCTTGATCTGTAGGGAAGGATGGTCTACTGAGTTTGCCAAGTTGGCAGGCTGTGCATAAATTCTTTTTCTCCTCTATTTCGGGTAGGTCCAGCACCATATCTCTAGTCTTAAGTTCTTTGATTCCTAAGTAGTGAAAGTGCCCAAACCTTCTATGCCAAAGCTCAGATTCTTCAGCCCTACTAATCAATGCTAAGTTGACTGATTTTTTTCACTCTACTGTGAAGCTTTTTCCCAACATCCTAATATTCATCATCTCATTTCCCTCATAGTCCAATATAAGGCACGAATGGTTCTGAAAATGTAAAGTGTAATTCTTCTCTAGCATTTGTCCTACACTCAATAGATTTTGTGTAATTTCAGGTACAAATAAGACACTTGAAATAACCTTAGTACATGTTTGTGTTAGGACTGCAACATCTCCAATTCCTTTAGCTTCCACATAATCACCATTTTCGATCTTGACTCTGGAGCTATAGGTTCTGTCCAATCTGATAAAATTCTCCAAATTGGCTGCCATGTGGTTGGTACAACCACTATCTATCAGCCACACATCACTGCTAGTCTGAGTTGAGTAGCATGAAGCTACAAACAGTTGCTCAAACTCACTGACCTACTGTTGATCCTCTGCAAATTGAGCTTGCTGTGATGGTTGTGCACCTTTGTTTTTGCACACTTTTTCAATGTGCCCAAACAGTTTGCACCCTCTACACTGGATCCCAAGCCTAAACCAGCACCTGTTCTCTAAATGTCCCTTCCTTTTGCAGTGAGAACATGGTGGATAACTCCTTGCTCCACTTGGTTTTCCCCACTGCCTACTGGTTTTGCTCTTTTCCTCTCTTGTCTTCGGCATACTTTCTGTTATTTCCCTGTATATTCTTCCCCTTTTGAGCAGCCATCATAGAACCTTCATTAGTGTCCTCTTGCCTCATTAACCTTCTTTGTTCTTGAGCATGCAGTGCATGGACCAATTCGGTAAGGCTGATTTGTGACAAATCCTTTGAATCTTCTAGGGAAGATATCTTGGATTCAAACCTTTCGAGTAAGCTAACTAGCACCTTTTCAACAATCATCTTATCACTCATCACAACTCCCAATAATCTGATCTTATTCACCACACTCATAAGCCTATCCACATACTCTTTTACTTTCTCCATCTCCTGTATCCTCAACATCTTAAACTCTCTCCGCAAGTTCATCACTTGCATATTCCTTGTTGTATCACTTCCTATGAACTCCTCCCTCAGCCTATCCCATGCTTCTTTTCCTGTTTCACACGCCATTATCCTTATAAACACAAGGTTTGTTACAGCAAAGTGTATATGAGATAGGGCCTTTGGAGCTTTTGACATCTTTTCTTCATACATCCTCATCTGATTTAGAGTGGGGTTTGGACCAAGCTGTGGTGGTTGTTTCTCTTCCTCCACATACTGCCAAAGTCCTTGCCCTCTTAGATAGGCCTTCATTCTAACAGCCCAAATATGGTATTGGTCACCATTGAACACTAGCGGTGAAAGAGAAGCTAACTGAGTTGCCATGGAAAACAGATTGCAATTTGGGACACAGTTGTTCTTCAAGAAGGCTAGAGTTCGGTGGTGATTCGAAGGTTGGTTTTAGAGTTTCTTAGACGGAGGTGTGGTAATCTAGCTCTGACACCATGTTAGTGTTTTAGCAATGCCGAATTATCAAAGAAAGAGAGAAAACTAAAGAGAGTTTAATCTACATTTTCATTAGCCAACAACTACATAATATAACATATCTTTGGCTTACTGTTACAACCACTATCCAGTAAGCTTTTTACATAATGCAAGGCAATCCATGCAAATCTAACAACTATGTTACAATTAGGAGACACAAAGCCTCAAATTCAGCTGGATTTACCTAAGCAAATTTTAACACAAAAGTTGACAAATGGCTTTGCATTTCCCTATCGAACTGATTCTTCCACATCCCTTTGCCAGAATTCTTCATAGATTGGGTCCTCTATCATAGCTGTAAAGAAACCATATATTTAAGAAAATATTCGATGAATAATAAAACATTTGAGCATTTGCCACAATCTCAATTTGTTACCCATGCCAAGTTGTTCAAAATCAGAAGTGTAGAAATGGACCTAGGGCAATAATTCAATATTATTATTGAAATCTCACCCAATTGCTTCCTCAAAGCAGTAACTTGGATATCTTTTTTATTAATCTCTTCTTGCGCCTGGCATGAGGGACTGAACATCTGTGATATCATGTTTGACAGAGTAAACCTGCACTCAACATCATTTCTAGGTCAGAGGTAAGGAACATAAAATATTCAAACTAAACCTTCCGAAAAAACGAAAAGGGAAAAGAACCAGTTGTACTGAATGGAAAACCTGGTAGGACCATACTGTGCACACGAACCCCGTCTTCTCCCAGGACTTTTTAATAAATGATTTCCAATAATAAAATTTTCTCACCAAATTATCAGAACATGAAATTTACATTTGTTAACCAACTTTTAACTTAATGCAAAAGACTAAATGTACAAATCATTTTCATCATTATTCTATAAAATGCGGAATAATTATTTACATAGCTCCGTTGGGGCCTGATGTAATTCTTGTCATTGTTGTTCACTTCCACAAATGACTCAATTCACTTTAGGATTTCTAGGTGTTTTTCTCATACTCACAATTAGGGAAACTAATCCCTAATTATACAATCATCACCCAAGACCCCAAGTGATTACTGAGGTGGTTACCTCAAGTTACATCCACTTCCTAATGGAAGTGGATTGTAACTGTCCATAACTAAGTGGCAGTTAATGGGCCACTTACATTCTCCCACTTGGCCCATTATTTTCCATGTGATATAAAAGAGTAAATTGACTTTGATGTATGGTCATACATAGAACTTTAGTTCACTCTTAATGGGCTTATCACATCCATGATAAAAGTACAAGTCATGTGTAACGCCCCACTTGAGGTACGTAGCTAAGTTATGGTGTATTGCTTGAATGTTTATTGTTTTGCTTTTATTTGGGTTGATATATTGTTAATATTGGTTGGTTAGCCCTTAGTTGAATTTTTGTTAAAGTTATTTTGAGAGAAGTGTGAAGAAAATCCCTTAAACTTTCATTAGGGGTAAAATGGTATTTTCACTCAAAATTAGTTGAAATTGTGGGGAGTGAAAAGAGTTAGAATTTCATAAAGAATGCATTCAAAATGAGGGCATTATAGTTATTGACTAAAGGACATCGATGGAATTTCTAAGAAAGAATAAGGGCATAATGGGAAAGTGTGGTTATAAACTGAAGTGTTAAGGGTTTGAAACCCTTATTTTCTTCTTTCCACCGCCACACACCTCCCCCATTTTCTCTCAAATTATCATTCAATCCTCCAAGGATTTTGAGGGCTTTTAAGTGGTTTTTCATAGGGTTTTGATTCTAGGCATTAAAAGGTAAGGATTCATGCTCTTTATCTATGATTTATTTGTGTAAAGGTTGAGTTCTTATGAAGTTTATGCTTAGGGTTAAGAGAAGATTGGAATCCAACAAGAGTAGAGAGCTTAGGAGAGACTACTCAAGCACAAGGTAAGTAAATTCCACTCAAAATCCAACTCAAGCTAAAATTTAAGAATTCAAGTGAGTAGAGATTTCTTTTAAATATGCATATGTTGTGATTATTGAGAAATTGCGATGAGATGTATGATGAATTATGCTTATTGTTGGATATATTTGAATATGAGAAGTATATGTGATGATTTGATGATGGGTTGAAATTGGAAGAATTGGAGAAAATTTTTGGGAGTGTGTTTGCCATGTAGGTATGTGATGCTACAAGAGAGTTTTTCTCTCATTTTGGATGGTTTGAGAAATAAATAGAATGATAATTGAATTAGGGTTTGTTTATGCACAACTAATGTTTGATGAAATGCCTAAGTGAAAACATGTTACCAAACTGCCCTGTCACAGCTGTGACCTTCTGATTGATTTTTGGGCATCTTACGGATTGAAATGGGTTTAGACCAAAACATAAAAGTTGTAGCCCTGTCTCTAAGATTTAAAACGAGACCAAAACCGTATCAATCCAATGTGTATAACTCAAGTTATGTCTTCTTGAGTGTGACCTATGCAGAATGACTATCTTGATGCAATATTGCATTTGTGCATTTCATAAGTGCATTAAGTAAGAAACTTTAAGCATAACCCATCCTTATGCATTAATTGTGCATTAAGAAGTAGTTTGAGAAAGAATAGAGAACTTTGTGAATGAGCTACTCTAAAAGTAAAGAGAATGAGAAAAATCTAAGAATGGGTTGGTGCTTTGTGAACTCCACTCGGAAGTTATGAAGAATGGGTTGGTGCTTTGTGAACTCCACCCGAAAGTCACGAAGAGTGGGTTGGTGCTTTGTGAACTCCACCCGAAAGTCACGAAGAGTGGGTTGGTGCTTTGTGAACTCCACCTGGCCTTGCCTCCGGTAAGATGAGGCTGTGACATTCAAGTGAGAAAGAATGAGAAAATATGAGAAAGAAGAAAGGAACAGAATGAGTAGAAGTCACGAAAAGTGGGTGGGTGCTTTGCGATCTCCACTCAGCCGTACCTCCGGTAAGATGAGGCTGCGACATACAACAGAAAGTCAATAGAAAAGAGAGCTGTGTGAAAGAGAAACAGGAAAAGAAAATAAATGAGATGAGAAGAGTGTAAGGAAAGAATTAAGCGAGAGTTACGGGGATAGACGAGTAGAGGATTTACTTATTGAGCATTATTTTGTGCTCACCCCATTGTTTATCTTTGTGTTTGCAGGATCTAGGTGATGACGCGGTCGGATGGGCGTCAGCAAGCGAGGAGTAATAGCTACACTGTCCACTGTTTTTGATAACTTTTACAAATGATACCTTACTTTGTATAAAGAATGATTATATGTATTAAAAGAAAATTTCGGGCCCATTTACTTTTGCTAATATAAATGCATTTTACTTTATGTATTTCTATGAGTAACCTAGTATGAAGTAGTTATTACATTTTTGGTATCAGAGCTGAGATTTTGGGATTTGACAGTGTACTATTCTCATTGCCTTGACTTCTGATAATCGACTGTGTGAGTTAATTCTTTCCTTACTATTAGTGTTTCTCGAATTGATTAAATGTGGTTGTTTTGTAGATGAGGCGTATTTCCCAAAAGTGTGGTAAAAGTGTGATGAATGAGGGAGAACCTTCTAACCCACCAGAAGCTACGCCCCCTCCCTTGGATGAAGCTAGAATTCGGGGAATTGTACAACAAGTTATGGCAGAAAGCCAAGGGAGAGTTGGGACCCCCGTACAAGTACCACCAACCACTAATGTAGAAAGAGAACAACCGGTACCTCCCCCAGTACAGAATAAAGTTGAACCGATTTATGGTCTTCCCAATCAACATCAACCCTCCGAGTTTAAGGGTACTACAGACCCGGTAGTAGCAGAAGAATGGTTTAGATCTGTAGAACGTACCATAGCTTTGTTTCCCATGACAAACCGGGAGAAGATCCGGTATGCGAGTTTCTTATTTCGGGGTGATGCCCGAATTTGATGGGAATTAATAAAAGATACCCATGATGTGGCAGTGATGACTTGGGAAGAATTCATACAAGAGTTTGAGGCTGAATATAGGATAGAGGACCGAGTTCAGGAGAAGGTCCAAGAATTTATCAGTTTGCAGCAGGGGTCTAGTACCGTGAAGGAGTACTCAATGAAATTTAACTCCCTTGCTAGATTTGCACCCGGAATAGTTAGTACCCTAGCATTGATGAGAGACAAATTTGTTCATGGGTTGAAGTCGGAGATAGCTCCGGATATAATGACGAGTTCAGATCCCCCTCGAACTTATAGTGAGGCCTTGAGGTGAGCAATGAGGGCAGAAATATTTGAGAATAAAATTCCCCCGGTAGGTTCCTCGACAGGAGGACCAAGTGAGCCATCCTTCGCCCCGCAGAGAGAGAAATTTGAGGGTGTAAAAAGCAAAGAAATGAAGAATAATAAAAAGAAGTTTCAGTCTAGGCAGGATAGAAGAGATTGGAGGAGTAAGCAGCCTAGGACGGAAGGGTTTCCTCTTTGCCCTAAATGTGGGAGGAACCACCCAGAAGAGTGTCTGAGGGACCAGAGGGTGTGTTATAGGTGCCGATAACTAGGGCACTTGATGAGAGATTGTAAAGCTCCTCTTCCACCACCAGCACGGAGTTCTAGAGATATTATCAATGCTAGAGTGTTTACAGTGGCATAGGGTGAAGCAGAGGCTAGTCCATCAGCCGTTACTGGTCAGTTATTATTTCATGTTGTTCCTTTATATGCCTTAATTGATTCAAGAGCCATTCATTCTTTTGTATCTTTTGGGATGATAGAGAGGTTAGGCTTGAAACCTACTAAAGTGACTCAACCCATTAAGATAGAGTTACCCGATGGGGTTAGTGTTTTAACGCAAGAGATATTGTCAGGAGAGTCCGTGGTGATCCAGGGTAGAGAGTTAACAGTTGATCTAATAGTTTTTGATATGCCTGACTTTGATGTGATATTGGGCATAGATTTCCTAGG